CCTCATTCAATCATTCGTTTATTCATCAAATATACATCTAGTATGTTCCAAGTTCTTTTCTAGGTGACAGGGATACAGCAGTGAATGCTACTAATCAAAATTCTCTAGTCAAGAGGGACAGACGTTTTAAGACGGTAAACAAGTAAACTATAAGTACCTGAGATGTTGTTATGTGCTATGGAGAAAAATAAGCAGGGAAGGGCTTCCCTGGTGGCGCAGTGGTTGAGAATCTGCCTGCTAGTGCAGGGGACACGGGTTCGAGCCCTGGTCTGGGAAGATCCCACAGAAGATCCCATGGGCGGAGCAACTAGGCCCGTGAGCCACAACTACTGAGCCTGCGCGTCTGGAGCCTGTGCTCCGCAACAGGAGAGGCCACAATAGTGAGAGGCCCGTGCACCGCGAAGAGTGGCCCCCGCTTGCCACAACTAGAGAAAGCCCTCGCACAGCAACAAAGACCCAACACAGCCAAAAATAATAAATAAATAAATAAATAAATAAATAAATAAATAAAGCAGGGAAAAGGAAAATGGAATACCAGGGAGGGGACAAGTTGAAATTCTAAAAATGGGGACATTTGAGTGAAGACCTGAGGATGATGAGGAGCAAGCCATGCAGGTCTATGGGGCTCTGGGCAGAGAGAACATCAAGTGCAAAGGCCCTGAGGCAGAAGCATACCTAGCATGTTCTAGGGACACCAAAGAGGCTGGTGTGTCTGGACTAGAGTGAATGGAAGGACAGCGATTAGGACATGAGGTCAGAGATATAATGGGAATCAAGAATGGGGGACAAGTCAGACAAGGCTTGTGGGCCATTTTAAGGACTTGGCATTTTTTGTGAAGGAAATGGGAAATCATGAGCTTGTTTTGAGCAGAGGAGAGGGACATGATCTGACCACGTGTGACAGGATGCTGCTGGCTGATGTACTGAAAATAGACCAGGAGGAAGTATGGTCCAAGTAGGGAGCCAGGAGGCTGTAATCCAGGCGAGCGGTGATGGTGTTTTGGACCAGCAGGGTAGCAATGGAAGTTCTGAGAAACTTCTGGATATATTTTTGAAGCTAGCAATGGAAGTTCTGAGGAAGTTTCTGGGTATATTTTTGAAGATACAGATATTAAGATTTGCTGATGGATTGGGTGTGGTGGATGAGAGGAGAAAAGTCAAGGATGATGAAGGTCTGAGCAGTGAGAAGCCTAGAGTGTTGCCTTCAGTTGAGATGGGAAAGACTGAGGTGGGGGGCAGGTTTTGGAGGGTAGATTGGGAGCTCATTTGGAGATGTGTCAATTTTGAGATGCCTGTTGAATATCCAAGTGAAGACATGAAATTGGGACGGCAATATATATTTGTCTGGACTTTAGGGGAGAGGTCCAGGCTCAAGATATACATTTGAGAGTCACTGGCATACAAATGGTGTTTCAAGCCACGAGCCCAGAAGTGAGTGCAGGTGGGAAAAGGGAGGGATACGAGGGATGCTTCCTGGAGGATGCCAAGATGTCAGAGCTTAGGAGATGGGAAAGAACCAGAAGAACCTGAGAGGAAAGGTCAGTGGGCTGAGAAGAGAATGTGATGTTCCAAAAGCCGAAGAAGAAGACAAAGCCTTTCAGGAAGCAGGGAGCCCTGTCAGAAGCTGCTGTTGGGTCCAGTTGGATAAGAACTGAGAATTAACCATGGATTTGGTGAGTTTTCTTTCTATTTCTTCCATTTTCTAGATTAAGCAAAGCCATGGAGTGAGAGCGAAGGTGATGGAGGGGGTGTTGGAGGTCTGAGAACTGGCATAAAATAGTCATCTGGGAGAGTTTTAATACCAGAAATACTATTTCTGGTATTGAGTCTGCTGAAACAAAAGAATTTTATATTTCTGGGTTGGAGCTTCAGGTTTCTTACCCTTGTGTAAGGAGAATTCACCTGTTTAAGTACATCCTAGAAAGGCGTTGGTACAACACAGGTTAGGACAGATAAGCAAAGTAACTGTTACATAAGCTAGCTTGTAAGAAATTCTATAATATGAAAGCTTATATTATAAGGGTGTGCCACCCTGCATGGCTCAGTAAATGCTAGGCGAATATGGAAAGGGTTATAATAGAGGTTATGGCTGATCTCCTTGTCTCTAAGGCCACCTTTCACCTACTTCAAACACTGATCAATTTCTTTCCTTCCTTTCTCCCTCCTTTGAATAAGATTCCCTTCTTATTAATAATCCTAATGTTATAAACGTCTCACAGTTCTAACAAAGTGCTTTTATAGACATTATATCATCTACTACCTCAATAACTGAATGAGGCTAATAATTACTTCTCCTGGTTTACTCTATGAGGGCACCCACTCAGAGAGGTCGTTACTAGCTCAAGAGAAAGGCAGGGTGAGGCTCTGAAACCAATTCTGTCCATCGGGCTGCCCACACCCACAGCATCTCTGCCCACTTCCGTGACCCCTGCCTCCCATCCCTTCTCCCACCCCCAGCAGCCTTGTTCATCAGATCCTTACCTTTCCAGCCCTGACAAAGAGAGATGGCCTTGCTGAATCCCTGCTCATGTATGAATATAAGGGCAGAAACGCTTTTCCCCTTTGCCCCTCTCCTCCGAACCCAATTCCAGGCGGTGTTCACCGGGTATTAACTGATGTGGTGGCTACAGTGGGGACAGAGTGGTTCTAACTCCCCCTCTCACTCCCACCCTTGGCCAGGGGGAGACACATGTTAAGTCAAAATTAAGAGTCAGTGATTTGGGGGAGTTCCCTGGCGGTCCAGTGGTTAGGACTCGGTGCTTTCACTGCCAAGGGCTCAGGTTCAATCCCTGGTTAGGGAACTAAGATCCTGCCAGCAGCGTGGCGTAGCCAAATTAAAAAAAAAAAGACAGATTTTTATAAGCATAGGAATGCATTAAAGTTTTCTCTGAGATGTGGTCTGTATTAATAAGGAAAGTTTCACTTGCCTTGTAGATGCTCCACTGTGAAGACTCAAAGGACCTAACGCCTTAAAATCAGAATTTCCCTTTTTTTTTTTTTTTTTTTGCGGTACGCGGGCCTCTCACTGTTGTGGCCTCTCCCGTTGCGGAGCACAGGCTCCAGAAACGCAGGCTCAGCGGCCATGGCTCACGGGCCCAGCCACTCCGCGGCATGTGGGATCTTCCCGGACCGGGGCACGAACCCGTGTCCCCTGCATCGGCAGGCGGACTCTCAACCACTGCACCACCAGGGAAGCCCCTAGAATTTCCCCTCTTGAGTGGAGTGGAACCTGTGCGTATTGGAGTGGGAGGAATGGGCACAGGAATAGGAAAGTTCACTGAGATTGTGGAGGAGCCTTAGGAGGAACGCCAAGGAGAGTCGAGACTCCTCAGTGCCCATCCTAGGTAGCCTCTATGAGGAAAGATAGTTGACAGGGAACGCAGAGAACTGTCTGGTACCACTCCCGGGACTCCACATATTCCGGGAGACCAGCTAACAGGAAGGCTTCTCAATAACACATCCTCCCAACTTTATGGGCACCACCAAACTGGTCCATGATATGGACCAACTATTTGTGTAGCTGTGATCTGGGTTGGGGGAACAAAGCTGGGAGGGAGGAGACAAACGGGGAGCACAGATGGGGTCTGTGAACAGAAGGAAAACCTAGAAGCTTTCAGTGTCTTCTTCCTGCAGGACACCAGGCAGTGATTTCTTGATTCCACAGACGGGACAGAGGTCAATGTACCCTGGAATCGGGATCAAGAAAAGTGACCTATCGGGCTTCCCTGGTGGCGCAGCGGTTGAGAGTCCGCCTGCCGATGCAGGGGATGCGGGTTCGTGCCCCGGTCCGGGAAGATCCCACATGCCGCGGAGCGGCTGGGCCTGTGAGCCGTGGCCGCTGAGCCTGCGCGTCCAGAGCCTGTGCTCCACAACGGGAGAGGCCACAACAGTGAGAGGTCCGCGAACCGCCCCTGCCAAAAAAAATAAAGAAAATAAAAAAGAAAGATGACCTATCATGAGGACGTGAGGATGTTCTTACCAGCAAAGGTTGTGGTAGATAAACAGGAGGGGATGTGGCTCCTGCTGTCCAGGAGGGTGATAAAGCAAGTTTCCCCCTTCTCTCTGGGAGGCAGGTTGATTGACATGATGACCTTCAAAGATCCCCATGGCCCTAGAATCCACTATTATATACAGACAAGCCATTCTGAATTCTCTGCGTGTCGTGTCAGGCCGTGTACACGCAGCTATTTGTTTTCTGGATGGAGCCATTTCTGGCCACTCATCCATAGCACTTTACATGCTCCGTTTCCAGCCAGGCCAGGCCCAAGCTTCTCACTTCCCCTCTCAATGGCACCAAGGCCACACCCTGGCTTTAGGAGACCCACAGTGTGTCAATACTGGTAGAGTAAATAGAGAATTGTCGCAAGATAATTCGATTTAAAAAAAGAAAGACTCTATTACTAAGTAGAAAAAAAAAAGATTTAAGGCCTTAATGAGCTCTAGTTATCTACACTGAATTCAATTAACTGCATAATTATTTCTAGTTCTCTCATACCAGCAGCTTACTTTCACAAACACACACACACACACACACACACACACACACACACACACATTATCTGCCTCCCTCTTCATAGAAAATTTTCCAGCTTTCCTGTTCCTCAGTTCAAAAAAAGGGATACAAGAAGAGACATGGAAAACAAACACACAAACCCAAACCAAACCCTCCGAACCACGTTTTTCTATTTTCATGATAATTATTTTATTCCTGCAGTGCTTTTCTCCCTTATGTCTGGTATAAGACAAATGTACCTATTCCCTCTAACTGCCTCTGAATTTACTCAACTGGTACTAGGAAGAAGAACTTAACCTTACAATAATTGAATTTAAATAACATCCAGTTCCGTAAAGTCAAGCATGATCAGCATAATAAACCAAGTGCCACCAGGGCTGGCAGAAAGAAAGAAGGTCATATGAATATGGCTATTCATAATCATATCCGTATTTCTAATGACCTAAATGTGCCATATACTGTCCATGTATCTTTCTGTACAACTTACCATTACCATCGCCATTGTTACCACAGAGCTAAAATTAAAGGCTGATTTGCCTTCAGTCCTTTGCCTGACTTAATAGGAAAACATAACTTTGATAAACCTTGCCGGCCAGAATTGGACTATTTGCATACAGCAGTGGGCTGGGCCTGTTTCCAAGCTTCCAGGCCACCAGGCTGAAATTTCAGAGATTCCAGGTCACCGTGTTCTCTTTCTTTCCCACAAGTCAGGCCAAGCCAAGGGTACAAGTCAATGGCAAGGTGAGGGCAATTACTCAATCACCTCCTGCTAACTGCCTCCTTATTACAGGGAGAGGGAAGGATAAAATAGCTACCCCAGCTCTCCGTCCACCCAGATGTCTCAGTGTTTCGTAAGACCCCTCCCTCCCCAAATCTTCCTCCCTCACGCGCATGTGTTTCTACCCCCTGATATGGGGTAAAGAAAAGGTCTTAAGCTATGAGCGTTTACAGCTGCCACTCCTCTTTCAGGTAAGGCTGTGAATTTGTGTGTTCATAGCCCAACTGAGAGCTTTGCGGTGCCCTTGGTACTGCAGGGAAGGAGGGCAGAGTGGCTAATATGATCTGTGTAATAGACAGCTTAGCAAGGAAAGGGAAGTATGAGGGGGGAAAGGAGATTTTTGCCCTATAATTTCCTCTGCCTGTTTTTTAAAGAGGCTGCAGTAAACATTGAAATGCTTTTCAATTCTTTCTCTGTATAAGACTTGTATTTCTACTTCATGACGATCTTTGTTCAGATTATATTCCATTTAGACTGAAAACCCTGAAGCCCAGAGAGGGCAGTGGCCTTTTCTAGGGTGGTGCAGTGGGGCAACACTGAAACAGGAAAAAAGGACAGACATTTCCCTCTTTGGGTTCAGAGCTTCAAAGAGTTGGTCCCACATCCCTCGATATTGATGCCTCTCCCCAGGCGATACCCATTCCAGAGTCTGCTGAAAGTTCAGCCCAGTTCTTTTCACACCTCTCAAGGAAGTGTACTATTCCTGAAGCCTTGGCCCCAGTTCCCCGTCAGGAATAAGCCTGCTAAGGAGAATTGGAATTACTACGGCGGCGTGTGAATAGATGCCAGTCTGTTGACTCCAAGCTTCTGCTAAGCTGCTCCAAGCGGTTGTAGCTTCTGTCATCTTGGCAATTTTACTTTTTCTTTGAAAGAATTCTGTATCTCTTACTTCTGGAGCTGGGAAGGGGCGTGGTCTTCAAAGACCTTTCTCTCCATCCTCTGGTCAGACTGCCTGTCAAGGACCATCCTTGACAGATGGGGTGCTCCAGTTTGAGATAACGCTGGGGAGGGGGACCCCAGAGTCTCCCGTGCTTACCAGTGTTTCCAGTCTTCCCTTTCAGATCCATATTATGAAAACCAATGCCAGACAAGGCCAAAGCTTACAGAGCAGCCTAAGCCTCTACACTTAAAGACTGGGGGGATATTTATGGACCAGCAGTGCTTCCCTCCAAAGGATGCTGACTGTAGCCCACCGTCTCCTTTTAGGAGCTGTTCAGCGTCCTTGGTCGAGCTCTGGCTCTCCGGCACCTGCCCAGGAGACACACATGCTAGGAAACGCTTCCTCAAACCTACCCAGATTCTCATTCACCATGGTGTTTAGGCCTGATTTCATTTAATTAGTGGCAGTATGTAAAACATTACTTCCTTTTATTTGCCTTTAACTTCTTTCAGGTGACAAGGTGGTTAAGCAAGAAATCAAGACTTGTTTCAAAACAATTTTTTTTCTGGGATTTGGCAACCCAGTCCATGTTCTCTCTCTCCTTATACTTCGTGATTGTTTAAAACTTTATTCATCTTCCCCTCAGCAGTGGTCCCTTCAACTGAAAAATTCTAGTTTTAAATCCTATTCTCATGTCATGCATCATTTCAGCCACGTTTTTTCTAGACCTTAACCAGTCTCGTAGGTTTTTTATTTTTTTTGCGGTACGCGGGCCTCTCACTGTTGCGGTTTCTCCCGTTGCGGATCACAGGCTCCGGACGCACAGGCTCAGCGGCCATGGCTCACGGGCCCAGCTGCTTTGCGGCATGTGGGATCTTCCCGGACCGGGGCACGAACCCGTGTCACCTGCATTGGCAGGTGGACTCTCAACCACTGCGCCACCAGGAAAGCCCAAAGCGCTGGTGTTTTTTTTGGGTTTTTTTGTTTTTTTTTTAACGGTGCGCGGGCCTCTCACTGTTGTGGCCCCTCCCGCCACGGAGCACAGGCTCCAGACGCGCAGGCTCAGCGGCCATGGCTCACGGGCCCAGCCTCTCTGCGGCATGTGGGATCTTCTTGGACCGTGGCACGAACCTGCGTCCCCTAGCATCGGCAGGCGGACTCTCAACCGCTGCGTCACCAGGGAAGCCCCCTCCTCGTAGGTTTTTAAGGTAAGTTTCCCTGCTATGTCCAAGACAGCCAAGGATCCACATGTCTGGAGGCTGAGACAGAAAAGGCTATATCTTAAAAATATAGAGAGATTTATAATAAATCAAAAATTTCCTCATAACTATAGCCCCCCCATGCACACATAATTTCCCCCAAATCAGGATCATAATTTACAGCTAGTATTTAACTTGTATTTTTTCTTTCTTTTTTTTTATACTTTTTAAAAAAATATTTATTCGTTCATTTATTTGGCTGCACTGGGTCTTAGCTGCGGCACGCAGGATCCTTGTCGCTACATGCAGGATCCTCGCCGCAGCATGTGGGATCTTTAGTTGCAGCATGGGGGATCTTTAGTTGCGGCATGCGGGATCTAGTTCCCTGACCAGTGATCGGACCCAGGCCCCCTGCACTGGGAGTGCAGAGTCTTAACCACTGGACCACTAGGGAAGTCCCTAACTTGTATTTTTTCTTTCACACTATGTCATGAAAAATTTCTCATGGTGATCTATGATTTTGTGCATCATATCCATGATTATTTCCTTAGAAGACAGGAATGAATGGAATTGCTAACTCAAAGTGCATGGACATTGTTAAGGCTCTTAATACATTCTGAAGTCCAAACTGGTCTTCAGAAAGACAAGCCAGTTTCCATCCATATTCTTCCAATGTGTCTGTACCTGTTGCTCTTGGCCCATATTTAAGGTCTTGTCCTTTTTCCACATTCTCATGAACAACTCTCAGTAGTGCCATGACTCTTACCCGGAGAAGGAGGCACAGAAATGCAGGCAGTCTCTTCCTCTCTACCTTTCTTTCCACTGTAGGGAAAGCACAGGAGGTGGCTTCAGGACTGGGGCTGAGTCAGGAATTTGCAGCATTGCAACCGAGGCAAACTTGGGGGAGAGTCTCAGCCATGAAAGAGAACCAGGGGGCACCTAGCCAGCTGGAGGCTGCAGAATCTTAGCCTGGGTGCTGTGGGGTATTCCTTCTCCAAGGAACTGGTAGATGATAGGGATGACTCAGAGTATTCTTGTCAAGAGTCTCAGCATGGCCCAGTCTCTGAGATGGGAAACTACGAGGCTAAGGCACTTGGGTCTGAAGGGCCCCACTCTTAAGACCCTGCACCTGGATAATTGCCCACCCCTTCTCTTTGAGATTCCTACATATGAGAATGCCACACCCTTGTATGACTGGGCAACTTTGTTGTTAAAAACGTATCATAATCTAACCTGTATTTTCCCCGCTACGATTTCAGCCTTTTCCTATTTTTCAGCCTTTTCCTATTTTTTCATAACAAGTTTCATGACGAGGATGATGCACACGCTTTAAGATCAAACAACTTCTGACTCTGCCATTTATTAGCTGTATCAGTTAGTTCAAGCTGCTCTTGCATACGTACCCCAAAATTAATGGCTTAAAATATAACCATTTATTATTTTTCACAAGGCTATAAGTTGGCTGAGGGGCTCTGCTGATCTGGTTTGGCTTAGCCTTGGCTGGGCTCACCCATGCATCTTGGAGTTGGCTAGAGTCTGGCTGATCTAGGAGGGGTGGTCCTCCTCTGCTCATATGTTTCTTAGCATCCAGTAGGATTGCTCAGTCTTGTTCACATGATGGGGGAAGAGTTCCCACCAACAAAAGAGGGCAAGCCCTGATGCACAAGAACTTTTAAAGCCTCTGCTTGAATCAAATTTACTAATGTTCCACTGGCCAAAGCAAGTCATCTGTCTATTTCAGAGTCAGTGTGAGTAGGCATTACAAAAGGAAGTGTCTGCAGGGAAACATAAAGATCTAGGGCTATTTGTACAATCCGTTTATCACGTTAGCTCTGTGACCTTGGATAATTTTCTTAACCTCTCTGAGCCTTAGTTCCATCATCTGTAAAAATGCAGTTTTTGTAAGATCCATACTGTAATAAACGTAAAATATCTGGCACATAGCAAACTTCCCATATGTATTAATTTCCTTCTCCTTTTCCACCATTTTGACTTTCTCTTTTTTCTTAAATGCATTATTCTTATTCATTACCATCCACGTTCAAAGCTTCAGCATAGAAACACTAAACGTTATACCTGTGGCTTCTGTTGAATCCCCAACCCCTAGCCTGTGCCTAAGAGAGTAGGCTTTCAATTCATTCCAATGATTTGGAATTTGTATAAAGGAATCAAGGAGTCTCCCCTTCCCTTTATTCCTGGGACTGTGCAGTTGAGAGATGATCTCTGGCTCTCTGATCCAACTCCACTCCCAAGAGTGAAATAGAAAGGGTTAGCACGTTTGCATTAACTGATGACTCTGAGTAGAGGCAACAAGATGGGGAATCTCCATTTCCTAATTTAAAGGTGGCCTTGGGGGTAGGATAAGTATCCTGGCCTCCCCTTAGCTAATCAGGATCCAGAAGAGACATTAATTGCAGCCAGTCCGTCCTGCTGGGGAGACCCAAAGCTGCCAGCTCCCTCGCTGGGAATGGAATAGAATTTTAATTGGCTGTGAAAGCATCATGGCAGGAGGTGCACAAAAGAGTTGGTCCTCTCCCCCAAAACAGGTGAGAGAAGCTTCAAGGGAAAGGCTCTGAGGAGGTGCATGGCAGTAAAGACCCACCACATTCAGGGGTCATCCTGGCTGCAACACTACTGTTCCAGTT